TTGACATGCCTTGTGATGGTATGGATTTCGGTTTGTGATTGGTACTAGAATTGCTAAATAGATTCCCAACTTGCGCCATAGATGGAAGGCCCTTTGGTAGGAATTTTTTGAGCGCCTCTGCGCCACCAGAAAGAGAGCGTGTTCTAGCAGTATCGAAGACTCCATGGAGCGACGATTGGGATGTCCCATCGGTACGTTGAACAGCCATAGTTCTTGGCCCTGCAAGCCATGGCATTATAGGCATTGAAGATTCTTCGAGCTTTGGTGACGGTACTCTCCTCACTGACAAGCCTGCACTCTCCCTCGATGGGTTGGAAAGGCCCTCCGTTTGTATTGTACCAGCAGAGGTGCTAAGAAGCGCAGGTTGTGATATTGGCGGCCTCTCGTAGATGCTGTTCTCATCTGCTGCTGGAGGAGTTTCGTCGCTGCTGTCGAAGTACCCTCCTCCTTCAAGCTCTTCCATAGCTGTAGCTTTCTCTAACGCGGGCGTCCTGGAGGATTTTAGGCGTGTTGCCATTCGACTCATCGATGGCTCCACGAGTGATTGAGCATCCTCATCAGATATAGTGGATACGGCCATTGCTTCTGTGTCTTCGTCGTAGTCATCGAGTATTTCGTGGATGCTCGAAGCATGAAAAGGCTGCGGGTTGCTGGAAGATATGCTGACATTTTGAAAGCTGGAATTGGCCTTTGCGGGAATTCTAGTCCCGCCGACCGGCACGGCTTCATGAACGTCGGCCATTGCGTCAATACGGCGCGAAGCTGAGAAGTTCGAAGAGTAATGTACGAGCAGGATTGGGTAGGCTGTGCACAACCGGAAGGCGCGGAGACTGTTACGATAAGAAGTTAGTCTCTGCGAGATCTTTTACAGAAATGCTTACTTTCAAAGCCTCCGGCGGCCTATGGTCATCGATTGATCATGTCATGAACATGTGTGCAATGCACATTTAAGAAGAGGAGGACTCCAGAGTCGAAGCATGCTTTGTTGATGTTGTGCTGTCTGCTCAAGTCACTCGGCCCTTGCCCCTCAACGAAGCGAGACTACTTGACGTCAGTTTGGCTTGCCTTCGCCAGGAAATGAGACGTTGAATGACCAATTATGCGACGACACTTTATTTGCAGATTTTAAAAATGCTCAAGACGGCTCAAGACAGCTCAAAAATACTTGGAAGATCTCACAAGGCTGAGACTGAGGGCATTGCGCGAGGCTTAAATCGGGTTTTGTAGGCCTTTGACTGTACGGAGTCCAATCAGAGTGGATGCCCAGACATTGGCAACTGCAAATCCGATTGTAGATGGCAGAAGTCGGAAATAAATATAGCCTGCAGCACAACCAGGCCTCCTTTTCTATTTATTGACTGTAGCATGCTAGCTTGCTAGCTTGACATCTCCATTTTAGGTTCGACAACTAACTGTTCTGTTGGTCAACGTGGCCAACGGGCGAGAGCGCAATCTTTCGCACGCCTTGAGCACCTGGAAGCATATGGCTCAATCTTGATTCATCCCATGATAGGATTCCAATCATCCCAGAGCGCGCTTCTCGGAGAGACCGAATCTCCAAACAAGCGTAGCTTCAGTTGTAGGATTTTCATCCTTGATCTCGAAGCTTTTTCGAAGAATATCAGGAAACATACCATCCAGCTTTGCCACTGCTTATGTCTAGCCTGTTTCAATGTTTAGATGAGCAACCGGGCACCCCTGGAGGCGATCACATCAAGCAATCTCTTTTCATGCGCCCGAGTCATCGCCCCGGACCAAGCAATGCTTTTAGTTTTGTTCCTATCCAAGCAAAATCCTAATTATTCACAGATCCAAGTCGTTTTGAAACACACAAAAGCAAGTCAACTATGCGTAGCTAAATGGCCAAACAAGAATTGAATATTTTCAGAAATTGAATTTCGGGGACCGTTTAATGCTAAGCTACCTCAGGTGGAGGGTCGACCTCTTTTCCGTTCATATGCACAAGTAGAAACTCGATAATTGACGTCCACCCAGAAATGCTTCAGCCAGCCATGCCCAGAATTAAGAAATTACATGTAATGTAAGTTTAGACCACAAGTCGTGCGTCCAAATCGTAGTTTATAGATGCAAACCCATTTTCGTAAAAGCCATAGCCTGATTCGAAGACCCGTTGAGTCAGGCTCTAAATGCAAACAATGACTTATGCGAAGAGGAAAGCAGCGAGACCGGCGAAGGCGGCAACAACCATTGAGCCCTGGAGACTGGATGCAGATCCAGTGAACTGGGTTGGGGTGGCAGTGGCAGCTGGGGCACTACTCATAGAGTTAGAACTAGTTATCGATAATTCCGGGAGTAGGCTACTTACGTGACGTTGTGAGCGTACGAAATGGTGCCGGTGGATGATGGAGCAGCTGTGGACGAAGTTGGAGTGACGGTGACAGTGCTGTAGATGACAGTTGGCACGCTGTAATATAGTTAGATATGACCTAGTTCCAATGGTTCCGAATATCCTACCAGGTTGAGATCGTCAAGGTAGAGAGCACAGGGGCGCTGCTGGCGACACCAACTGCTGAGCTGGTGGCTACAACAACTGGGGCGGAGGATGAAGGTGCGGTGTAAACAACAGCGGTGCTAGACTTGTTGTAGTAGATAACTGGGGCGGATGAGGATGAGGTGATGACTGGGTAGCTGGTTGTGGAAACAACTGTTGATCGGGCTGGGCAGTCAGTCACGGTAGCGGCGCACTGCAACAGATTAGTACAATTTCGGAGAAGAGGCCAGGGCAAGGAGGCCATCTTACGCTTGTGATGGTGATTTCCTCTGTCGTGTAGACAGTGGACTCTCCGGCATAGACAGCTGAGGCCATGAAGGCAGCGGCGATAACTGAGAAACGCATCTTGATATTGGTGATTGGGGGGTTGGAAAGGGTGGTGGGATTCGTTAGGGTGCTGAAGAGCTGTGATAGTAGATTCTGAAAAGAATGGACGACCGAAGTCAAAGGGTATCAATAAGATGGTAAGAGCGGAAGATTGGCTGTTTGGCTGAAGAGAGAAAGAGAAACTCGAGGTGGGAGAGAAAGCACATATATTCAACGGGGAAATTAAAGAATCGCGCACAGGGAACAACGTGCCTGCCAGTTATTTTAGCCACTGAGCTGCAGTTTCCGCGCAAGACGTCTCTCATTTCGATTTGGAGTCTTGGACCCTCTTCCCGTCGCGATGGGGCTCCTGGGGGACTGCAGTGACTGGGTCGCACGGCGGCAAGCCTGCAAACAAATCTTCGAAAAGGAGTCGGGCAGGCGCGACCCCGGCACTGCGACTCTGGAAGCGAGAGATGAGGATGAGATGAGGATGCCACGAACCCGCCGCGCACGCCAATCAGCGCACGCGAGATCCATGCGCAGTCTGGAACGGGTGGAGCTCTGTGCATCCTGGCGGGCCCTGGCGTGCCCTGGAAAGTGGTGGACCGCCGGTGGTCCCCGCCATCCCTTTTCGGTGCTCATTTCGGCGCACGACGAGGAGCCGCTGTTGGTCCGACTAGACCCGGAACGGCAACTCGAATCAGAGAGCGTGCCAATGAGATCGCCCAGCCCCACGTTCCCCTGAGCGGCGAGCGCAAACAACCAGACGCAACCAGGTCGACCGATCACAACATTTCAATTTTCAGCAGCCCCGGCAGCGTGTGGAAGGCGGAGAAGACAAACCGTTTGCCCGCTGTGATAACCTCAATTTCATTTTGATAACCGTCCCTCATGCTCGAGATGTGGAACAACCGCCTGCCAGTTGCCGCGACCACCAAGTAGTGGATCGATGGGTGGTTGTTGTCGCTGTTGCTGTTAGGTGTGTTGACCCGATTCTTGCTGAAGATGTCGCTGAAATTCAGACTTTCCCTATCTGCGGGCTAAAGGACACGCGGCTGCACCAAGCAATATTCCACCACTGTTGGAGCTCAGGAGCTGGTGTGCAAGCTCGATTGCGAGATTCGTCCAGGACCCAGTCCGGCAGGTCTTCATCCACCGTGACGATCTGCTTCCACGGGCGGTGAATCTCGGGAGAAGCCAGAATGTCTTGCAATGCTCTATTTCTGGCCCAGGGATTGAAATGATGTGATGCAATTGTCTCACTATAATTCTTGTTCTAGAATGAAACTCCGAGGATGTTCGCTTGTGGAAGCGTTTTGGTAGAAGCGCCTGGCGCAGTGACCTTCCAGTGCTCACCCGCGGACCATGGGGAAATTGAAATTCAGATGGCGGTTGATGCAGTTGGTATGCTGTTCACCCAGCCGATATTGCTTCTTGAAGGCTCTTTGTGCCTAAGGTTGAAGATTGAGGTTAATTTGGGGGAAGAAGGCTACTGTTCTGCATAAATTTTGGCCTTGAAAACCATCTCTTGTATGCTTTGTTGTGCATCCATTTATGTTCACACAACGTCATCACTATTGTGGCATTATTAGATATTGCCGAATCGTCAAGCCTACAATTGCAGAAACGTCTTGGGTAGATGGAATATTCATCCTATCTAATTCCCCTCAAGTCATGGCCCATGACTGAAAGTCTCTATACCACTCTTTGCTCAATGCGAAGGCCCGTATTCCATTTACCCTAAAGAATCTGAGCATTTTTAACATCGTATCACAGAAAATAAGCGTTATATTCACAGTGAAGAGATTCAAGTACCAAGAAAATGCTATCATGTGCCAATGTTCGTAAGGTCTGAGCACGTGGTATATACCAAAACTCCAGCGTCCGCTGCGTCTACCTGTATTACAATATACATCGAAACACCGTACTCGATAGGTGGAGGAGAATCCCAACTTTAGAGTAAAAGGCAACAATGTTCTTCTAAATAAAAAATATAGCTCGTACACTCATCTTAATCAAATTTTAAGGAAAAAATCTCACAGTCGGTATATAACATACAGCCAAGTTGACTATTGGAATTAGATATTTCCTAGATACTGACCAAAGAAAAAGAGTGTTTCAGCTACTTTTCGGTTTGATTTTGTTGCCGGCAAAGGATTAAATTTAAAAATAAAAAGTTTGCCTTGACCCAGAATTGAACTAGGGATCTTCGCATTGAATTGAGCAAAGAGTGGTATAGACTCGTGTACAAGTGCGACGCGTTACCACTGCGCCATCAAGGCAATCAGATCGATTTGTGGCGGAAATCTGCTTATTTAAACTAATACAAGGTTTAGCATGTATCCGCTCAAAATGTCGGAAGCTCGGCTATGATATTGGGTATAGATGACCATAGGAACCACCTTGGCAGATGCTAAAAAGCTAGGTATTACCGACATTTCGGAGTTGTGTCTTAGGCCGGGGGAAAAGCAGCCGATTTTTGGCCAGTGGCACTTATTAATCGGACTTTAAAACGAGTATAGAAAATCTAATCAGAAGTTTAAATTGATAGGAATGAAGACCAGCTCAAGGAGTTGGACAACAAAGAAGTCACACTGATGGATTGGTTGTAAAATTCATAACAGAGTTCTTTGTTCGTGGACATGTCGAACCAGCTACTCTTTTCTCCGCTTGAGGGGTAGCTAGCTCGTTGTTCTCTTCCACGTAGTTAGGTGTTCGACTTTCTAAAGTCGTCCTGGCTACATTATATTGAAACCGCCTCACGTTTTAGAAAATAAGAGCATGCCACATGTATCACAGAATCAGGATATCGATGAAGCAGACGGTCTCTTGTTTTTCCTTCGTCTATATTACATATGATCATTACGAAAGCCAGTCGTCCAAAACTAGCTGAGGATTCGAGACGAAATGATGTATCCTCATATTGCTCTTGCTAAGAAACCCTTTCTACTTCAAACTATCTTCAAGTTCCTCTTTGAGCTCCTATTCACGAAACATGCTATTCATTTCAAGAACATGTATCTACGACTAGTGATACAGCAAGAGGACTTTGCAGCATATCTCCTCATAGTTTCCTATTCAGTCTTTACTAGAGCTGTATCGTCAGAGGAGGCTGTAGCCCCGCCAGCCACAATAGTCAAGCCCTGTAAGATCTCACTTCCAGTCACATAGATCATATACGACGGAAGTACAAGCCAAGCACCACTTCAGGATAAATTAGCATCAATTCTTTTCGAACATACATCAGACTTACTTCGGAATAATCCACAGGAAGATCAGATCCATGAGACTGTTGTGGCCGATATTCTCAAAGCCAGAATAATACTCGTTCATCCCTACTGCCGTTAATAGAATTCCAGGACGCCAGGTACAAACTCACAGTATAGCAAGGTTTTGCTCACAGTCATTACCGCGGCACTAAATGCAACTAATGCAGCAAGAGCGCCCTTCTGCCCGTCCACATATCGCTGCTGGCCCAGAAAGCCAGCTGTGGATGTCTTCGGGGCACCTCGCCCTTGAGCCCTGGATTGCGCACCGAAAGCGTACAAGATATACAAGTAATAGAGATACATCAAAGACTCAATGATATTCAAGAACCCTTGTGCAGCCGTGAAGCCATTCTTCTCATGGAACGCCTTCCAGCCGTATATGTAGTCCACCTGCCCATACAGATCGTATGGGACCCAGATCGGCCAATGAAGCGATCCACCCGGCATACTGTGAGGTCGAAGCATGACATATCCCGTATCCCATGCCACGAGAGGAAGGGAGATGAGAAGCCATATGATAGTGAGATTCGAAGGAGTATGCGCCCATTTGCCCTTTCGCGCTCGCGAAGGAGTCGCTCTAGATGGCGTAAGGTCAGGTTCAGGGAATTCCTGAGGATGTCCGCGCGTAGAGACCATTTTTGATGCTAATAAGTATTCAATTGAAGAATGCGACAAAGATTAAATACCGTCAGCATCATCTGGCAAACAGATGAGGTACGAATACGAATACTGTATCATGAAACCGAGGAACCTTCACGGAAAGGCTGTTCCCGAGGCTGAGCAGCCGTGCAAAATGGAGTGGCGCCGAAAGCTTAACGAGCTCAACGTCATCGTACCTAATTTCTTGCCTCACATCTCCTTGCATCTATCAAAGAACACTCTGGCTTCCACATCAGCTCGCTGGCGCCTCTTCTATCATCAATTGAAGAAGAGTCACGAAAGATCTGGAGTCCAGATATCCATGTTATAACATCTGCAAATGGATTCGCCTTCCGTCACACCGCGACGCTCACAGCGGATCCAGAACAAGTCTTCACCATCGACTTCGAGTTCAACAGATATTCCTGCGACGACAAGGAAGATGACTACTCGAAGGTCCCCCTTTCTTCCGACATCTCTAGAGACTATTCTACTCTCCATGTACCCAATAACCCTCATAGTAGGGTCTCTCTTCGGCCTTCTCGATCCGACAGCGCGAGCTGCTCCCTATAATGCCACCACACAATCGCATTTCGCAGATACTGCACCCTCATACTTCGCAACAAAAAGCAATGTGTTTAACATATTTTTCGTCAAACAGGGATGGGCATGGGTGACTGTCAGCTACCTGTTCTTTTTATTCACACATCCTGCAACAGGACCTACAAATTCTGTAGCCCTCACTCCAAAACGATGGCGAGGAATACTCAGATACACTATTGTAACAATATGGTGGATATTTGTCACTCAATGGTTTTTTGGACCTGCAATCATTGACCGAGGCTTTACGCTCACCGGGGGGCAATGTGAGCTAGTTGAACAGGCCGAAGCAGGAAACATCAGCATGGGTGATACGAGGCAATTCGTCACGGGTGTAGCGTGTAAGGCTGTTGGTGGAAAGTGGAAAGGCGGACATGATATTAGTGGGCATGTTTTCCTGTTGGTATTGGGCAGCATGTTCCTATTCGAAGAAGTTTTGCATGTCGCAATGAAAAGTGCAACAACTAAGGAGGAGAGGACTATTTTAATGAATGATGGAGCTGTGAAGAGTGCAGAAGTCGAAGCTGAAGTGGAGACTAGCTCGGTGGCCGAAGGGCGTTGGACTTTAGGCACGAAAATTGTGTTGGGAGTTGGTGCGCTGAGCATTTATATGCTCTTGATGACAGCAGCCTACTTCCACACTTGGTTCGAGAAGGTGAGCCGAGAACAATTCCTACCGTGAACCCAGATACTAACAATGCTTAATAAGCTTACAGGGCTGTTGGTGGCACTTAGCGGCATCTTCGTTGTATATTTCTTGCCACGAGCTATACCCGCATTCAGAAACATAGTAGGGATGCCCGGAGTGTAGAGTTTAAAATAGATAAAATTCGAAAGCAATTAACGACAGCATTCCCCCGTATCTCCATCGAACCCTTTTTCCGTTCACACATGAAGCTTATAGTCGTCTGAATTAAAATTGTGATATTCTATGACGATTGTATTGTGCCGTTGTCCTCGCAAAACGAGAGCCAGCATACCTCGCTTATTACTTGAAAATGATCGTACCGAACTTCATGTTACAAACTCCAAGCTCTCAAAGTGGCTAAAATCAATAGTGATAAGTGTACGAACTACAAGTTCAGGCCGCAACAGAATCTATTACCTGTACAAATTGTTTCGTCTCAGAGCAAGGAAAGTCAAAATAAGATCATCATAGGAAAGACTCCCCTCCTGAACCACCTTCTCTTCACAAATTCGTCTTCTTGGACTTTACCTTCCCTTCTAGTTGCCGTGCTTAAGATGCTCTCGAGATGCATCAGTCTCATTTCCCGCTGCATCGTTCTCAAAGTCAGAATCACACTTGGTGATCTTGCCTTGTCCCTCTTCTACGTTGCTTTCATAGGCTCACGAGCCTCAATCTCATTCCCCTCGGCATCATAGTCGAAATCGTGCGTTCCTCGGGCATCGATCTCGTTATCCTCAGCATCGTACTCAAAGTCATGCATCCCACGCGTCGCATTTTTGTCGGCTTTCTTTGCCAGTTTCTCCGAACCGCGCTTTTCTACCTCATTCCCTTCGGCATCGTACTCGAGGCCGTGGGTGCTACGAGCCTCGATCTCGTCACCCTCGGCGTTGTAAGTGAAAGGCTCAACACGTTTTTCAATGTCGTTGCCTTCAGCATCGTAAGTGAAGGGCTCGCTGCGGGCGGCGATGGCGTAGCCGCAGTGGACGGGGACACCCTGGACGGCGACTATTGCACAAAATGCCAGGATAATAGAAACCGTGGAAGCATACATAGTGACAAGATGTACTTCAACAAGACGAATTTTAAATAACAGTAAAATAAGCAAGGGTCAGACCAGCTGTGAGGAGGATTGTAAATAAAGTTGATGAATGGAGAGCAAGCTTGACAGGAACTTATCATTCTTATAAACTATGGATTAGATATGCCGAGAAGATTTGGAGAGCCTTGAATGATGTTAAACATAATCATGCTAAGCATATCAATGTTAGATGTCACAACATGGTTGTTGACAAGACCCAAGAGAGATGCTAGCTTTAGCCCTCGCAAAGAATTTCTGCAGTCAGCATCGTATCGTGCCACTGGAGTGATCAAACTATTAGACATTATGAGCACCGAGCAATCAAAGCGCTCGCAAAGTATACGAATTAGTTGAGAGGTTTGTTTGGAACAAGCCTTATGCGAGCAGGTGCCGCATCTTGGCAGGAGATCAGTAACCTGCATAAAAAGCTTAGCAGCATCAAGAAGTCGATGTCTGAGGATTGGCAATCTGTGATAGGTCAAAAGTTTCTTCTGGCGGCAGGAAAGTCTAAGCGTCGATTATAAGACTCTGAAATCGCCGCAACAGATCCTGCCATTGGCTCCGATTTGAAACATTGAGGCGCAATGTCAGACACGAAGAACCTCGTGTTTGATATCATATCTGAATCAAGCATCAAAACATCAAAACATCGGCAACGGTAGAAACCGCACGCTAGGAAACTGGTGAAAAGAAAGTGCCCTTGGTGTCTCTCAGGAATGGTTCTGATCTTTAATGTTCAGTGTGCTAATGTATCAACATAAGGTCTGCGTAGGTACTCGCATGTTTAGACAACCCGCTTGAAAACCCCCAGGGACCGAAGACTAGAATAGATAAGAAAAGACTTCGTAACAGCATAACAGATGAGATTAACAAGCACAGCCCTCCTTCGACGCATTATCTCTCGGTCCCGTCAGGTTCACTCTCGACTGGTCTTCCGTCCGGCCTGCGCTTGCCTGTGATGCACCAGGACCTCTGGCTCCTTTCAAAGATGTTTCTGGGATCGCATTG